CTCTGTCATTCCCTTCTCTTTCTGCCCCCAGTCCCTCCCAGCATCAGGGTTTTTTTCCCTGATGACTCAGTTCTTTGCATCAGGCGGCCAAAGTACTGGAGTTTCAGCTTCAGTGTCAGTCCTTCCAGTGAACACCCAGGACTGATCTCCTTTAGGATGGACTGGTTGGATCTCCTTGCAGTCCAAGGGACTCTCAAGAGGCTTCTCCAACACCACAGTTCAAAAGCATCAATTCTTCAGTGCTCAGCTTTCTTTATAGTCCAACTTTCATATCCATACATGACCACTGGAAAAACCATAGCTTTGACTAGACAGAACTTTGTTGGCAAAGTAATGTCTCTGTTTTTTAATATGCTGTCTATGTTGGTCATAGCATTTCTTCCAAGGAGAAAGAGAAAGGGGCAGAGTCAGGAAATGGAGAGTCAGGGAGCCCAGAATGCCTCCATTCATGCCTTGGAACCAGACACACCTGAAGCCATCAATGACTAGACCATTTACATGAGCCAATAGATTCCTCAACTTAAGCCATTTGAAATTGGGTTTCTGTCACTGACAACCAAAGAGTCCTAGTTAATACAAGCAAATCTGGAAGGATTAAACACACATCTATTCAGCAATAGAGGATTGGAAGGATTCATATTTAAGCTGAAATTCAGACATGATTTGTAGACTTGTTATTGGAAATGTAAGAGGCCAAGTTCTGTGGATGAAATATGCCTCCCTGGACACTGGAGGGTTAATGTGCCACTTCACTAGCTTTGGCCCAAAACATATAAACAAGAGTCTATTGGGTCAGGATTCTGGGGCAGCTTTTTTCTCCTGGTATAAAGGCCAAGACTCAATTGTCACAGGCCCTTTCTTCTTTTCCTTCCCCTTTGCCTGAAATGCAGATGTGATGCCTGGGGCAACAGCAGGCACCTTGAGAGCATGAGAAAGAAGCCATACGCTGAGGATGGTCTAGCAGAAAGATGGAAGTGGTCTATTTCCTGACAATTCTGGGAGCTGTTGTACCTGCCCAGGACTGCCTACCTCTTGGCTTCTTGATCTATGAGAAAAAAACAACTCAATCTCGTTGAGCAACTGCAGGTGGGTTTTTGTTATATGCAGTGAAAACAACTCTAACTTATATAATGCCTAGACATGAGTTTGAGCAAACTCTGGGAGATAGCGAAGGACGGAGAAGCCTGGCCTGTTGCAGTCCATGGGGTCGCAGAGTCAGACACAACTGAGTGACTGAACAACAACAAAAATCACATCCAAAGAAAGGTCATGGACTTTTGGGTCAGGTCTGAGCCCACACTTAGAGACCTGCTGCTTTGGACCGACATGTCATCCTTCAGGTGAGTGACTTGGGTCCCTGCATTCATTTCCTATCATTGCTGTAACAAATTACCATAAATTTAGGGGCTTAAAAACCACAAATCTGTTCTCTTACAGTTCTAGAGGCAAGTTGTCCTAAAATCAAGGTGTTTTGGGGGAAGGAGAGGGTGGGATGAATTAAAGAGAGTAGTACATATACACACTATCATGTGTAAAACAGATAGCTAGTGGGAAGCTGCTGAATAACAGAGGGAGCTCAGCCTGCTGCCCTGTGATGAGCTAGAGGGGTGAAAAGGTGGGGTGTGGGAGGAAGGCTCAGGAGGTGGGGGATACATGTATACTTACAGTGGATTCACGTTGATAAACAGCAGAAACCAACACGATATTGTGTTGGTTAAAAGTTAAAACAGATATTAAAAGCTAATTAAAAAGTCAAAACTTTTTAAACTTTTTAAAATTAAAATTTAAAACATTAAAAATGTTAAATTAAAAAAGTTAAAAAAGATATTTGAGAAGTAGGAGTAGGGCAAATATAGATAAAATAAAATATTTTAAAAAACGAGCCTGTAGGGGAGACTCCTTTTCTTCACCTTTTCCAACTGCCAGAGGCTGCCTGCATTTCTTGGCTCATGGCCCCTTCATATTCAAGCCCAGCAGTGCAGCATTTTCAAATCTCTCTCTCACCTCCACTTCTGTTGTCATGTCTTCTCTGACTCTTCTCCTGCCTCCTCTATCCTTTACAAGGACTCTTGTGATTAGATTGAGCCCATGTGGATCATCTAGGATAATCTCTCATTTTAAGATCTTTGGCTTAATCACATCTAAAAAGTCCCCTTTGCCATGTAAGGAAACACATTCACAGGTCCTGGGCAGTAGCAGGTGGGCATCTTCAAGTAGCCATTATTCTGTCTCCATAATCTCAGATACAGAAAGCTATTTGCCCAAGGTCATGCCCAGTCAGTGGGAGAGGGAGAAGTATGTGTGGGCTCACCCCCACAGGCAGAAGTGCCCTTTTCCTGCCTCCTTATTTGGCATGAAGCTAAAGCCCAGTCAGGCTTCAGGCTGCCCCGCCGCTCAGAAACCACTGCTGCCCTCCACTGCCCACAGAGTCCATCCTCTTGGCTGTGTCTGTCACTCACTGGTACTGGCCACATGTTTGATCCGTAGCCTTAAAAGTGTCCCTCTTGTTCTCTGCCCAGTCTTAACTCAAAGGTAAAGATCATACTTTAGACCCTTTTGCACCTGTGGAGTGGGGCGGGGGTGGACTTCCAGATGGCAGTAGTAGTAAAGACCCCACCTCCCAATGCAGGAGAGGTAAGAGACGTGGGTTCAATCCCTAGGTCAGGAAGATTCCCTGGACGTGGGCATGGTAACCATCTCCAGAATTCTTGGCTTGAAGAATCCCATGGACAGAGAAGCCTGGCTGGCTACGGTCCATAGGGTTGCAAAGAGTCAGACAGGACTGAAGCGACTTAGGAGACACATGCAGGCACTCGTGGACCCGTGGGACCCTCTGAGCCAAGAGAGTTGAAGTTCAACATGTGGATGATGCATGGCTCATTATGGTCCTGGTAGATTATCCAGATCATTCAGTTCCTGTACCCCAGAATCAGGAAGGTGAAAACTACATTTCCCAGACTCCCTTGCAGGCTGGACTAGGTTCCACCGAGCCAGACATGGTGAAAGTGAAATGGAGCCAACAGATGAAAAGAGAGAATCTTCTGAGGGAAAAGTGCATAGGTTTGGTTCTTTGGGGGCAGTACTGTCAGTCCCTGTCATCTTAAGAACCACGTGACTGGGCATTTCTCAGAGCTGCATAGCTCTCTGCTATGCAGGGCTTGAGCTTGGTTCCCCAGTCCCCTTGGAAATCTGTAAGCTCCTCAATGCCCTGTGTGAACATGCCCTTCTAGCTGGAGTGGTTTCTACTGTCTGCAACTAAGAACCGTGAAAGTGAAAGTCGCTCGGTTGTGTCCAACTCTCTGCAATCCCATGGACTGTATAGTGCATGGAATTCTCCAGGCCAGAATACTGGAGTGGGTAGCCGTTCCCTTCTCCAGGGGATCTTCCCAACCCAGGGATCAAACCCAGGTCTCCCGAATTGCAGGTGGATTCTTTACCAGCTGAGCCACAAGGGAAGCCCAAGAATACTGGAATGGGTAGCCTATCCCTTCTCCAGCAGATCTTCCCACCCCAGGAATCTAACCGGGGTCTCCTACGTTGCAGGCAGATTCTTTACCAACTGAAACCCAAGGTCTCATATTCATTTCTCCCTCAATCAGAATGTGAATTCCCAAAGAGCAGGAAGGATACTCCTCCTGTAAGGTCAGCAGACTACAGTCTCCCCAGTAAACTTACCAACATGACATGCATGATTCACTGAACTGGGTTCAAGTTCTAAGATTCTGATGAATTCTTCATCCTCTCTGTAACTCCAGAGACTGAAACAAAGTGGCCATCCAAATATGGTCTTCTTTTGAAACCTTAAAGCTAACTCAAGCCAAGAGAAGTCAAATTTTTTCAAGTTTCAGTTTAAACACTTAAGTCAGAGGCGTGCGTGGTCCAGGAAATTCTTCCCCTTTTCTGTCAACTTTTACTTACTACAAAAATGATGTAACATTAAATAGAATGTAAAAATTCATCCAAAAATCTAACTGGGCAAACATGTTGCAATATTCCCATTTCCTTTTCAGCCTTATTCCTATGCATCCTTATTTTTGCAGGCAGGGGTCTACAATCAGCTTTTTTTCTAATTAATTAATTTATTACTTTGGCTGTGTTAGATCTTCGTTGCAGCATGTGAGGTCTTCATTGTGTCACGAAAGGGCACACAGAGGGGGTGCACAAACTCTCATCGTGGTAAATGGGCTTAGTTGCTCCCAGGAATGTGGGAATGTTATCTCCCTAACCAGAGATCGAACCTGTGTCCCACGCCTTGCAAGGCAGATTCTTTACCACTGGGCCACAAGGGAAGTCCCTACATTCAGTTTCGCATTCTGCTTTTTCATATAATGCTATAACACAAGCATGTTCCATGTTGTAACCTAGTCTTCCTTTTGATGGCACATTATTTCTTTCAGCAGCCATTTTACTTCTTGAGCAATTCTGGTCCCTGTCTTCCAGCTTGTTTTGGCATCACAGTTCATACTGCAGACATGCTTTTAGGTTCACTTCCTTACCACTGTTTCTCAGGGGCACAGGATTGTCCAGTCAATGCGCCCAAGTATCGCCATTGCTTTTAGAACTACGGTCTGGCCAGAGGGTGGGAATACCGTCCAGAGTCTTTTCCTGTTCTCATTCACCTTTTATATAGGTGCCTCCTTGTCCCAACTTGCATTGCTCTAATTCTCAGGGGGGTTGGCTATTTCCCGGGGCGGGGGGGTTGCTTTTCGGCTCTTGCTGACCTTTGTCCGCGGATCTCCAGTTAAAAGGCTCTTGTTTCAGGAGTGGGGAGTAAGCGCACTTGTCTTCCTGGCTTTCCCCCGGTCCTCGCCCACCCCAGCCCCACGCCAGCCCCACCCCTCCCACACCCCTCCAGCCGTAGCCCCACCCCTCCAGCCGTAGCCCCGCCCCCACCCTGCAGGGACTGGGACTACACTTCCCAGGAGCCCTTGCGCGGCCAGCGCGGCCGCAGCGTCCGCTGCCGGTTGGGAAGCGAGGGCCCGACCTGCAGCGAGGGAGGGCCGAGATGGCCGCGTGGAGCGAGCGGCTGGCCGGCGTGCGCGGGGTGCTGCTGGACATCTCTGGGGTGTTATACGACGGTGGTGAGGGCGGTGGCGCGGCGATCGCCGGTTCCGTGGAGGCGGTGGCGAGGTGAGTGGGTCCCGCTGGGCGCCGGGCGCTGTGCTCAGCCGGGTCCCGAGGGCAGCGGGCCGGGGGCGGGCGGGGGACGGGGCGGGGCTCCTGCTGCTGCTCTGGCCCCGCCCCGCTGGGCAGGCAGAGGGCCGGCCCCAGGACCCCACTGCGTGCACCTGGAGAACCCTGAGGCATTTCGGGCCCTGGGCGATCGTGGGGCTCTGCTGGTTAGAGTTGCTCCACTGTCCAGCAGGGCAGCCCCTGCTGCTTGCTGCTGAGTCCTTGGAATGGGGCTAGTCTGAATTAAGATATGCTAAGTGTGTAGTCTACACGGATTTCAAAGACTTAGTGTTCTGTTCAGTCGCTCAGTCGTGTCCGACTCTTTGCGACCCCATGAACTGCAGCATGCCAGGCCTCCCTGTCCATCACCAACTCCAGAGTTTACCCAAACTCATGTCCATTGAGTCGGTGATGCCATCCAACCATCTCATCCTCTGTCGTCCCCTTCTCCTCCCGCCTTCAGTCTTACCCAGCATCAGGGTCTTTTCAAATGAGTCAGTTCTTCGCATCAGGCGGCCAAAGTATTCGAGTTTCAGCTTCAACATCAGTCCTTCCAATGAACACCCAGGACTGATCTCCTTTAGAATGGACTGGTTGGATCTCCTTGCAGTCCAAGGGACTCTCAAGAGTCTTCTCCAACACCACAGTTCAAAAGCATCAATTCTTCGGTGCTCAGCTTTCTTTATAGTCCAACTCTCACATCCATACATGACTACTGGAAAAACCATAGCTTTGGCTAGATGGACCTTTGTTGGCAAAGTAATGTCTCTGCTTTTTAATATTCTGTCTAGGTTGGTCATAACTTTCCTTCCAAGGAGGAAGTGTCTTTTAATTTCATGGCTGCAACACCATCTGCAGTGATTTTGGAACCCCCCCCAAAATAAAGTCTGTCACTGTTTCCATTGTTTCCCCATCTATTTGCCATAAAGTGATGGGACCAGATGCCATGATCTTACTTTTCTGAATGTTTCGTTTTAAGCCAACTTTTTCACTCTCCTCTTTCACTTTCATCAAGAGGCTCTTTAGTTCTTCTTCACTTTCTGCCATAGGGGTGGTGTCATCTGCGTATCTGAGGTTATTGATATCTCTTCAGGCAATCTTGATTCCGGCTTGTGCTTCATCCAGCCCAGCACTTCTCATGATATACTTTGCATATAAGTGAGAAAGAGACTTAGTGAGAAAAATGTAAAAAGTTCATTATATCATTTTGTATTGGTTACATGTTTGAAATTATAGTAATTTGAATATGTTAGGCTAAATAAAATATATTTAATAATTCCACCTGCTTCTTTTGATCTTTGTTATTGTGGTTATCAGAAAACTTTAAATTACATTTGTGGCCGGTATTATGATTCGGTTGGACTGCACTGACCATCTGCTTAGATGGCAGGAGGGCATCTTGCCTGTTAATCTTGTGCACCGAGAACACTGCCAGGACTGCTGATGGCACCTCTGGACCCCGGGCTTTGTAATCGCCGTTGGCGTCTCAGAACCAGAAAGTGAGAGGGGTCATCAGGGTGAAAGGAGGGAGGAAGTGCCTTCCAGCTGGGGGGAACAGTGGCTTCAGAACCTGAAGAAGAGAGCGTGGCAGGTTCCCATTCACAGAACTGACGAGCGGGCGAGGACTGGTGGGTGGCAGAGCCTGGTTGCAGCAGGCCTGGAGAATCGGGCAGAGCTGTTTGGATTCCATCCTGAGTGCAGGGGAAAGTCACTGAAGATTTTAGGCAAGAGTATCATGGGATCTGATTTATGTTTTAAAGAAATTAAAATATAAAAAGTGAAAGTACCGGTTGCCTGGTGGCTCAGATGGTGAAGAATCTGCCTGCAGAGCAGGAGACCCGGCTTCAATCTCTGGGTCAGGACGATACCCTGGAGAAGGAAATGGCAACCCATTCTGATATTCTTGCCTGGCAGACTACAGGCAGATCCTAGCAGGGTACAGAACATGGGGTTGCAGAGTCGGACACGGCTGAGCAACTAACAGTTTAGTTTTATACAAGTACCAAGTGAAAACAGGAGAGATTCCCTTTGAACTCTTGGAGTGGGAGAAGAACTTTCTAGCTCTGCCTCAAAATCTAGACTCTTTATCTTACATTGCTTGTGAAGATGCATTTGGCATTATCTATTAGCATCTGCCTTATACATGAGAAATGAGATGGGTGGGAGGGCGCTTGTGGCAGTGCCTTGTGAGATAGCAAAAGACTCGAAACATCTCAGCTGTCCATCACAAGGGGAATGTGACAGCCTCAGTCTATCAGTGAAGTTCTGTGCTGTATAAAAAAGAATGAGCACCCCTGCCATGTAGGGGTCCCATGTAGACAGGACGTGCTCTGTGCTGTCTTTAGGGTAGAAAAGGTAGGAATGCAAGCATGTATTCCTGCTGGTAGGTTTGCATAAAGAAGCTGGAGGGAAGAACTTCACTATGTGAAGAGCTAGGGTGGTTGTAGGAAGGGGGTGGGAACAAGACTCTTCCCTGGCTAACTTGGTATAGAAACATTTTTACACATTTTTGAACCACGTGGATGTATTTTCTTGTTCAGGATACCAAAAAAAAGGAGTATTTTCTGAATTTTGTCTCAATAAAGCTGGAAAAAAAGCCACATTTCCTTACCCCCACCCCCACCAACTCTTTTAAGAAGAACTCTGTCTGCAAAGTGCAGAAATAGGTGTTGGTGGGGCAGATGGCAGGGCTCCAGAGGAAACAGGGAAGCAGGCTGCTGCAAGATCCTTGTGAGGTCCAGGGAGACATGAAGGGGTGTGGGCTAGCGGGTGGAGATGAAGAGAAGGGGGGTGAACTCAAGAGACCTTCTGGGAGCAGGACCAATGGGACCTTGGACCACTGGATGTATGGGGTATTGTGGGGTCCAGGGAGAAGATGAAGTGGAGAACGACTCCGGTGTTGGACTGCAGCACCTGATGGGATGGAGAGGGGCCAGAGTGGGGTGCAGGCAGGTGCCATGATGGCTCTTGATGCAGTGCCTAGCTCTCGATAGACCCCAGGAGTGTGCCATTTAAATCTCACTTCCCACGTTCATATAGGAATTCCGGTTGTATGTGCTTTTAATTATTTTAAAATCAGGACCACTTAAAAGCATCTTTACATTAAAGAAAAATACTCATCTCTTCTCCTGAGGTGGGTATAGTTTCCCATTTTCAGTTATTTTCAATATGCTGCCACGAACATTCTAGAACATGTCTTTGGTGAATGCATGGATGCGTTTATGCTGGGTACAGACCCGGGGGTGGAATTGCTGACCCTGAGATAGGCCTATAATCGTCGCTAGAAGATGCTGTCAGGCCATTTCCCAAAGTGGTGTATGTGAGAGTCCCTGTGGCTCCATTCCTTACAAACACGTGGGTTTTTGAGTCCTTGGCATCTTCGCAAGGTCGTTTTTGCTTCTAGAAACCTGAGATGTAAAGGAGGTCAAGGATATGGAGAGAGCCTCAGTCCCATCCATCCACCTTCTTCCAGGGAGCACAGAGTGGCTTCAGCAGCGGCCTTGGAGGAGGTCGGGCTGATTGTGAGCCCTTGCTTTCCAGCCAGTAGCGTGGGTCTGGGTGCACCCTTCCTGGGCCAGTGGCTCCAGGGATCCTTCAGGGAGTGCTTCCTCTGTGCTGGGCGTCCGTGTCCGTGTTGCTCCATCCCCTACTGCTGGGAGGCAGCTGTTATCTCCCTCGATCAGCTGAAGCCACTGTGGCTCAGGGCTCGCCAGGTCTCTGCTGGGATGGCCCAGGGCCCACGGGAACCTAGGTCTGCTCCACTCCTACTCTCTGTGTGGACCTGAGCGTAGGGTCCTCTGAGGGAGACATGGGTATTGGAAAAGGACGGGGTCTTCCCTCCAGCAGCCTCCCTGGGTGATGCTCCCCTCCCCCGAGGCACTGTCCCACAGTCTGCCTCCCACCCCCGGGTATGACTCTAAGGGGGTTGATCCCTGCTCCGTTAACCACGGAGGGTTTGGACTAGTGTCTCCCCCAACAGACCTCCGGGAGGTTTTTGTCTTAAAGGAAAGGAAAGTGATGTCCCACAGTTGTGTCCAACTCTTTGCAACCCCATGGACTGTAGCCTACCAGGCTCCTCCGTCCATGGTATTTTCCAGGCAGGAGTACTGGAGTGGGTTGCCATTTCCTTCTTCAGGGGATCTTCCTGACCCAGGGATCGAACCCAGGTCTCCCACATTGCAGGCAGACGCTTTACCATCTGAGCCACCAGGGAAGCCTCCTTTTGTCTTGGCCTGCTTTAATTCAACTGATTTGTCTAACTGGAGTGTCTTTGGTAGCAGTGACACTGTATCAATCTAGCAGCCATATGATAACAGGCTATACAAATAGTCCTCAAATGCATCCCAGCTGCAAGAGGGAAGTGCCTTCCCCATAGAGCACAGGATTGTTTCCTGCAATTGACCATCCTGCTGCCCAGGGGCCTGGAGAAAGAGGCCTGGAGATCTGAACCACCCTGTGGCCCCCTGGCGTAGGACCACACCACATCCCCACAACTCTTCCCCACCCACCAGGGCCTTCCCAAGGGACCTGTGCGGCCCCTTCTCTCCCTCCGCCCACCTCACCCCCGTGCTCCCAGTTACACAGACTTTGGTTGGGTTTTCCCCTGGCCAGCCCCTTAGCAGCCCAGCATCCACAGAACCTGGCTCCCCCACCCCACACTGCAGCACCCTCTGGCTCGAGATCCTTTTCTCTCTAAAGACTAGGCCCCTCCACTCAGGCCGAGACCTCCCATGGCCAGCTGGTCACACTCAGGCCCAAGGGAGCGGCCCCTGTCCTCCTATGGGGGCCGCCGAAGCCCCGTGTCCAGACCCTCCTGGCGGCGAGTGTGTGTGGATCCTCTCCCCAGTAAAACCTGCTGGCTCCTGGAGTGTCCCTGGGCATGTCAGACTTGGGGACACTCTTTCCCTCTCGTAGTGCCTGAGCCAAGAACTGGCTCTCCAGGTGAGCGGGCCCTGCCC